GGTAGAGTCGGTTGCAGAGGCAAGCGTGAAAGCTATTGCCATCGAGGGCAAGCAAAAGAAGAGCAACGAGGCAAAAGGAGATCCAAAACAAACGGGAGGTGAGTCTAGTGGTTACAAACATAAGGAAGAGAAGAAGGGTGATCCAGGAAGAGTAGAACTGATTTGTAGTCACTTCGCTGATCAATGTTGGGAGAAGTATCCTCATCTGAAGCTAAAAGGATTTAAGAAAAAGGAGGAGGAGAAGACATACGTGATAGCATAGGGTCCGAAGGAAGTTCCTAGGATGATAGAGCCCAACAGTAGTCTCAATCTTATGGTAGGAAAACAGGCCATAAAATAGGACGAAGACCTACGAGAATAGCTCTTTATGCTGAAGTTGCAAGTGAAGACTAGTTTGGTTGATGCTATTGTTGATCCAGGCAGCGAAAAGAATTTGATATCCGAGGCCTTGGTTCAAAAGCTAGGTCTGAAGATAGTCAAGCATCCAAAACCCTATCCATTAGGGTGGATTCAGAAGGAGACGAGACTAAGTGTAGTTGATCAATGCACTATCAGATTTAAGCTCCACGAGTCGTATATTGACGAGGTCACGTGCGATATTGTTCCATTGGATATTTGTCAGGTTATACTAGGTAATCCGCACTTGTGGGATAGATACATGATCTACGAAAGGCGGGCTCAAAAGTACACATTCACCAAGGATGGTGAAAAGTTCATATTTCGTTTGGCGTCTCTTCCGAGGGAGGCAAACTTAGCAACGGTGACGCAAGCGAAGAGGCTAGTGAATGCAAGTAAGAAGTTTTTCTCGCTGTGCATTAGACTTCATAACGAACCATCGAAAAGGGGTTGCATGTTGGAGCAGAAGACGACTACAATAAGACAAGGAATGAAGGAGTCGTTTCCAGTTGTACGTCGATATCAGGTTCCTAGCAAAACTAGGTGGTATAGAAAGGATAGAGGAGCTCGCGAGTTTCCTCAGCTGAAGTTTTAACTTAAATGGGACTTCAAATTCTTAAAGGGGCGGCCCATGATATGGGTGTATCTTCTCTTCAGAACTTAGCGATCCTCATGGGAGCTTGAGGATAGATGATTCTCATGATAGCATGAGAATAGAGGTGCAAAATAATACAGTGGAATGCAGGTTGAAGCGTGGAACGAGATGGCGAATCGAAGAATCAAAGCATCTAGTTTTTAGCCCGTGAGTCGACTCATACATGTACATGAGTTGACTCATCAGGTTGAGTCGACTCATGCCTGTCATGAGGCATGAGTCGACTCACGAAACCCAGTCGTTTTATCAAAAGTTTCTGACCAGTCGACTCATCATTTCATGAGTCGACCCATGTGTCATGAGCCAACTCATATATACACATGAGTCGACTCATCGATGGTTTCCTAGTTCGTTTGGGTTTCTGTTTGCACGAATTCCTGTAGGGTTTGGGCTTGGTTATTTACCACTTTGTTATCCATGTTGTTATACCTATATAAGGGATTGTTTTAGGGTTTAAGGAATGAAGGAGTCGTTTCCAGTTGTACGTCGATATCAGGTTCCTAGCAAAACTAGGTGGTATAGAAAGGATAGAGGAGCTCGCGAGTTTCCTCAGCTGAAGTTTTAACTTAAATGGGACTTCAAATTCTTAAAGGGGCGGCCCATGATATGGGTGTATCTTCTCTTCAGAACTTAGCGATCCTCATGGGAGCTTGAGGATAGATGATTCTCATGATAGCATGAGAATAGAGGTGCAAAATAATACAGTGGAATGCAGGTTGAAGCGTGGAACGAGATGGCGAATCGAAGAATCAAAGCATCTAGTTTTTAGCCCGTGAGTCGACTCATACATGTACATGAGTTGACTCATCAGGTTGAGTCGACTCATGCCTGTCATGAGGCATGAGTCGACTCACGAAACCCAGTCGTTTTATCAAAAGTTTCTGACCAGTCGACTCATCATTTCATGAGTCGACCCATGTGTCATGAGCCAACTCATATATACACATGAGTCGACTCATCGATGGTTTCCTAGTTCGTTTGGGTTTCTGTTTGCACGAATTCCTGTAGGGTTTGGGCTTGGTTATTTACCACTTTGTTATCCATGTTGTTATACCTATATAAGGGATTGTTTTAGGGTTTCTAATCAATCAGATGTAATCAAAGAGAGATTCTAATCAAGAGAGATTAGGGTTTAGAGAGAATTGAGAGTTTGTTCTCGATTCTAGTGAGATTATGAGAGAGAGATTGTAATATTTTCATACTCATAATCTAGAGAGGGTATTTTCCTTCGCCACTAGTGAATTGTTCCTATGTTTCTATCATCCTCTTCTCAACCCACCTTTGATAATTCCGCGATCAAAGGTGCTCGTACGGTAACTTGTAGCAGGCTAGCTTCGCTAAACTGGAGAACTATGAAAGTTTGCCTGACTGAACGAACTTCGCCTAACAAACAAAGTTCGCCTGACTGAGCGAACTTCGCCTGACAAACAAAGTTTGCCTGATAAAAAAGTTCGCTAGACAACAAAGTTCGCCAGATCAGAGCAACTTCGCCAGAACTGACGAAGCTCGCCAAAAGAATGAACGTCACTTGTTCATCTTCTCCAAACCCTATAGCTTTGCATCAATAGAAAAATACAAAAAATACAATATTTTGAAAGCTTACATGAAGAGGGAAAAGCAACACCAAATGCAGCCAAAACAAACGCCGTCCCCTTTCCTTTCGAGGCGAGAGTCGCTCAAAAATATTTGAAGGTTCTGAGATTGTAGGAAGTTCTCCACGAGGAAGATGAAGCCTATATATGGGCAAATAAATCAACGGTTGAGATTTGATACCTTAACCGAAGCGACGGTTCCGATCGGATAAAAACGCTGCAAATTCAACTGCTTTGAAATGGACTGTCGAGATTAGCTCTCAACTTAACGGTTCAAATCCAATATCCAAACAAAAAACTATTCAAATTCGCTCGAGCAGCTGAGATTTAATTTTTTGAAATCAACGGCCACGATTTATTGTGAAGCGACAGTTGAGATTCGATATTAGACCAACACAATGGCTCAGATCGAGTGTGTGAAAATGAGGAGGCCAAGTCACAATGCATTTAATGCTATCAGACACGCCGTCGCCGCCTCGACTGGCGAACTTCAAAGCTCACATGTGATCGTTTGGTTCGCCTGATGCCTCTTAGTTCGCCTACATACTCTAGCTCACCTGTGATGCTAAGTTTGCCTAAATGCTTAGCTCGCCTGTGATGCTAAGTTTGCCTGAATGCTTAGCTCGCCTGGATTTATTGACTTTACCTGAAGAACTCAACTTCGTCAGAATGGCCAAGTTCGCCACTTCGCCTAAATTAATGAATGGTGATTATTTTTATTCAAAGTATTTCAGACCCCATGCAGCCCAATTTGGGTCTGAAAACTTTGAATGGGGTTTTGCAGGCAAATAAAATTGCCTTTATTCCTAACAAAGGAAATTCAAAAGTTCACCTGCATGACTGAATCTCGCCTGAATATTCAAGTTCGCATGAATAAAGCTTATTTTGCTTGTTCGCGTGAACAACCAAGTGCACATGGACTAATTCAAGTTTGCCTGAATAACTCGACTTTGCCAGCAGAGCTAAGTTTGCTTGATAAATTAGTTTTGCTTGAATGATTCTTAACAATCCAAGTTCGCCTGAACTGATGGAGTTTCGCCAGGGTAGCTCATGCGAAGTTAAGTTCACCTAAAGATTTAACTTCGCCTACCCGGAATAAGCTTGCCTGAATGCTTAACTTATGAGGTTCACCTGAAGGAGTTAAGCTCGCCTGCAAGCTCACCAGGTTATCCTGAGAGGTCAAGTTTGCCTGAATGGTCAAGCTCGCCCCTAAACTGTTTGACCAAGTTATCCACTAAAGCCTGAATTGTGGGTGCAGTTGCAACCACTTCCCACGTTCTTAGGAGTTGGTTACGAACCATTCTCCTCTATAAAAAAAGCCACAAATGGCTATAGGAAAGGGGACTTTGACCTTTTTTGGCAATTGAGAGATCTAACATTGAGAGAATCGAACTTAGCATTTTGTGTGTTCGGCCTTCACATTCTAGCTCAGATATTCGAGCTCAGAAGGCCAAACTTCTACCACGCACTGAATTTTGTTTACAACCTCGTTCAAATCATCAACAGGTGGCAAACTCGACTCAAGCATCGAGTCAAGCATCCTTTCACCCCGTAGATCCCACGTTAAACAAAAGAGAGATCAAATCAAGTTTTTCTTCTTCTATGTAAAAGTGATTTCAGTTTGTAACAAACAATTCAATTAATACAAATTTGAGATCGATTTTTATGACCTACACCTGGATGAATAGAAAGTACTGAACTGTGCGCCTCCTCCAATAGCTCTCTTCTAACATCGCCCTTAGGCACACACAAGCTACCATGAAATCACAAGGATCCATCCTAATGTATTTGTAGATCAGTTCTCTCCCTAGACTACACTTGTTTCTTAAATTTTTGGTATCGAGCATCCTCGAAATAGGTAGCCTTGATCCAGTCCACCAAAGTTGACTATAAATGCAAACTCATCAAACTGTCTCCCTGCTCTAGGCAATATAATCTCCATGTTCATCCTCAAAAACTCAGATATCAACTCCCGCTGTCTGGTGAGTCTCATCGCCACAGGCATCCTGTTCAAATGATTTGGCACCATATTAACTCGTCCCATGTGATATTGTAAATCAAGACCATAATCCGCCATAATCTCTAACCACATGCGCTGCCTCATGTTGAGCTCCTTTTGAATGAAGATATGCTTTTAAACTTTTATGATCTGTGTACACCTCCACTCTGTGTCATAAAAGATAGTGTCGCCATAGCTTCAATGCAAAAATAATCGCCGCCAATTTTAGATCATGAACCGAGTAGTTCCTATCATGTGTCTTCAGTTGTCTGGATGCATAAGCTACTACCTTCCCATGTTGCATCAGAAAACAATCTAAACCCAAACCAGAAGCATCTGTGTTCACTACAAATCCTCCTTACTCATCCGGGATTCTCAAAACTGGTGTTGTCGTCAACTTCTTTTTCAATCCCTCAAATGCTACTTGACAGTCCTGAGTCCACACAAACTTGACATCCTTTCGAGTCAGCCTAGTAAGTGGTCCTACAATCTTAGCAAAATCCTTTATAAATTTCATGTAGTATCCATCCATCCCCAAGAAACTTCGTACTTCTGCCATAAATGTAGGCAGATCTAACCTTAACACTACATCAACATTCTTTGGGTCTACAGAGATACCTGCTCCGGAAATCACATGTCCTAAGAAAGACACTTGCTCTAGCCAGAACTCACACTTGTTCAATTTTCCATAGAGCTTCTCCTTCCATAGGATTTCTAACATAGTCTGTTGATGCTCTGCATGATCTTCCTCGGTCTTAGAGTATACAAGAATGTCATCGATAAACACCACCATAAACATTTTTTAGATTCTTACTTGATTTGGTTTTTATCCACAGAACTCGTCTACCACTAGCTCTCAAACACAAACTTAGGCTACATATTATCTATGAGATGTCCAATTTCCTCCTGATAATTAACCTATATAACCTTTTTCATTATTGGTTATACATGATATATTATGCATTAGACCTAAATAACTCAATCTATAGAGAACATCCATCATGTGGCTGCCCTCTACAATAAGGTTTCTACAGACTGTGTTGAAGGCTTCTGCTTGTCCATTCACAACAGGATTATAGGTTGTTGATGCTAAGTCCCTATTTCTGAACTTGTCACAGAATCGTGTGAAGGTTTGGCTGACAAATTGTGGTCCGTTGTCATAGATGATGCGCTTTGGAACACCGTACCTATATATGAAGTGATGTTTGACGAACTTTATCAGATCACTTGTTTTGACTAGTCTCAATGGGACTGCTTTAGCCCATTTGGAAAAATAGTCAGTTATCGCTAGGATGAAGTGATCTCCTTTCAAGGAAGATAGGGAAATTGGGCCAATGATATCCATACCCCACATTTTAAATAGCCATGAAGTGGCTGAAGGATGCAGATACTGCGACGGCTGGTGCATGTAATTAGCATGATTTGGCAGGTATAACACCATTTATCATAAGTGACAGTGTCCCTGATTATATTTGGCCAGTAGTAGCCAAGTCTGCACAATCGGTCCCATAATTTAGTTCCTAGCTGGTGAGCTCCACAGATGCCATCATGAGCTTCTTTAAGGGCTTCTTCCACTTCTTTATTAGACAAGCAGTGAAGCAACAATCCGTTGTATGACCTCCTGTACATGGTTTGTGACAAGGAATCGTAATAGAATCTCGACGCTCGCCTACGGATAGATTCTCTCTCCTTAATGTCTTCAGGCAGTAATCCATGTAAGACGTAATCAATGATTAGTAATCACCAATCTCTTGGTTCGAATGCCTTGGACCCTTCATCGATCGCGTCAACTTGCAATGCATATTTGAGCCGGAAAAGTTGTTTGCTAGCTACGGTGATCTGCTGAGTAATCCCTTCAGGTAGAGCTAGCGTAGCTGCGAGTGATGCCAAGGCATCGACATATGTATTCCTCAAATGAGGTACAAAATCAATATAGAAGCCTTTAAAAGAATTGGCCAATGTAATAGCCGCTTCATGATAAGGGACCAGATCTTTGTATTTGACCTCGAATTCCCCTTTTAGCTGGTTGTTGTTGAGCTTCGAGTCACCATATGCTTCTAGATGCTTTACCTCCAACCTCTTGGCTAGGTCAAGACCAATGAGAAAAGCGTTATATTCAGCTACGTTGTTAGAACATGATTCTTTCAGGGAGAATGCTCAGGGCAACACATGGTTTTGCAGAGAAACCAATACTACCCCCACTCCAGCGACAATTGTAGCTTTGGGGCCAGTTCTTGATGAGCCATCAAAGGATAGCTACCATACCTACTCCTTTGAAACCATATTGGCTTCGCAAGTCTCGTCTGGCATGTCTTGATATAAATCAACTTTCCCTCCAAGGAGTGGTTGGCAAGGAGATCGCAGATAGCTTGACCTTTTACTGCCTTTTGAAGCTTGAAGTAGATGTCATACTAGGATAGCAGTAATGCCCATCTTGCAAGTCGCCAATTTAATGCATCAGGATGCATCATGAATACCCATATTGGATTGACTTTAGAGATGACATATATGGTCTGCCCGACCAGATTATGTCGCATCTTTTGAATTGCAAAAACCAAGGCTAAACATTCCTTCCCGACGGGAGGATAACGGTGTTCAGCTCCTGATAAAGTTCTGCTAAAATAATAAATAGCTTTCTCATGGCCATTATCATCGTCTTGCGCTAGGAGTCCTGCTAAGGCATGCTTTGTAGCTCAGACATATATCAGGAATGGCTTACCTGACTTTGGTGTGACTAATACAGGTAGGTTGGAAAGATATAATTTGATCTCCTCAAAGGCCTCATCCCAGTTGAAGGATACACCTTTCTTCATGAGTTTCGAGAATAGATAACATTTGTCTGACAAGTTGTAAATAAACCTACGGATGTAAGCCAGACGCCCCTGTAAGCCGCGAAGCTCTTTAAGATTTTTGGGAGGCGAAAGTTCTTAAATAGCTTTGACTTTTTCTAGATCAAGATGAATTCTATTAGCCGTGACTACAAATCCAAGAAACTTGCCACTAGCCATTCCCAAGAAGGACTTGGTTGGATTCATCTTCAATTGATGTGATCACATAAGGTCGAACATTGTCTTCAAGTCATGCAGATGATCACCTTTGCTATGGCTTTTATCAACCAAGTCATCGAAGTAACATTCCACTATCTTTCGCAAGTGTTCCCGAAAAATGGTGGTCATGGCATGTTGATACGTAGTACCAGCGTTCTTCAATCTGAAGGGCATTACTGTATAACAGTATATCCCTGAAGGTATTCAGAAAGAGGTATGCTTCTCATTTTCAGGGTACATCATGATTTGATTATACCCTGAGAATCCATTCATGAACAATATCCTTTCAAATCTGCACATTTTGTCTATGATAACGTCAGTGATGAGCAAAGGGAAGTCGTCTTTCGGACATGCCGAGTTCAAGTCTCAAAAATTGATGCAAACTCTGATCTTCCCATTCTTTTTCAGAACTGGGATGATATTAGCCACCCAATCTGGATGTTGCTTTTCTCGGATAAATCCTGAATCGATGAGTTTTTTAACTTCTGCTTCAATTATCTTCATGATCTGTGGATAGAATCACCGTTGTTGTTGCTTGATAGGCTTGGCGTCTGGTTTGATATTAAGATGGTGCATGGCCACCTGAGAATCAAGGTTGGGCATGTCCTCATAATTCCAAGTGAAGACATCAATATATTCATGCACAAGGGTGATGAGGTCTTCCTTTTCCTCCAATGACAGGCTATCACTTATGAATATGGGTTTAGGGTTAGACTCATCTCCCATGTTTACTTAGATTACCTTGTCGTCGGTAAGAGGCTCACGCTGTTCGAAGCAGTTTTCTGACTGCATGCTGAGTTGTCTGCTCAATAGGTCCTTGAATAGAGGTAAGCGATCGTCCTCTCGCGTTTTACTCTGGAGAGCTGAGGTCATGTTAGGCATGAGTTTCTTGAATACGGCTCCACTACTGGTGTTCAAATCCTAGACCAGCAGATCGATTCGGAAGAAGAACTAATGGAGTAGCCATATGACTCTTCACTAGCTTCGAAGCATTGCATTAGCGATGGAGACACGTATCCCAACCCCCTGCGAGTCTTATCATAATAGTTATTAAACTTTCCTTTTGGGGTGAAGGGAGCAAGCGGAGTGTGCCGACTCTTGCCAAAATTTAAACCTCCTGCATGGGAAAGATCATATCCTATTTTCTCTATTATGCGACGCGTTGCCTTGATTGTGAGAATTAAGGGGCTCTTTTTCTTCACCAGATTTACCCTAAAGAGTTTGTAGTGGACTCTTAATTTATCCGAAGATGATATTTTCTTGGCCATTTCTCCTGGTGGGCACCATGAAGACGGCCTGTGAAGATTCAAAGCGTCGCCGACATATTGCGAAAGATGAATGAATCGACATGTGCAATGTTGGCTCAGCATATAATCGCGATAGAAGATCTGACGATATGTCGGCACTTCTACCTGATATGTCAGAGTTAAATTCAACACATGATAAGTAAGCTAAATCATCATTATTATTAAAAAAAATTTACCGTCATCATCTGCGGCATCATTTACATAAAGGCTCTCGAGGCCAATCACAACGGGATCAATGTCATTAAAGACAAGCCCTTTTTCATATTCAGATTCGGTATCGGCCTCGTTACTAGTGTCAAGGTCCTCAACTGGTGATGTGTCGGTCAGCTCACCATCTAAGTAGTGGATAGAATAAATAAAATAATTCTCCACCCCCTTGAATTGTTGCTTTTTCACGACCACTGTTGTAACCTCGCCACTCTAATCCACATACTTCATGCACTAGTGTAAAGTGGATGGAACAATAAAATTATTATGGATCCATGGTCGACCCAACAGTAAATTGTAAGATGTCTCTGTGTCATTAACATAGCAGGTGACATCCGTCTTCAAGTCTCCCATCTGGCATTTGAGCTTGATCTTGTGAAGAGAACGTGTGGTAAAGGCGTTGAAGCTGTAGATGGTGGTTCATGTTGCTGACAGGTGGTGAAGTGAGACCCAGATGATGGATAAGCCTCAAAGGTATGATGCTCATGGTAGAATCCAGGTCCACCTAGATTCAGTCTACCTGAACAAAGCCAATATATCCCAGAAAGTATAAAGGCCTATCATGCTTTGGGTTCTTCATGAACATATCTTCTGGAGAGAACGTGATATATGGCATTCGTCCTCAAAAGACCTGATGGCATTAAGGGCATGCTTCCGCCATTTCCTCCTAGCTGGGCTTGGTGGAATGTGAACAAGAAATGTCTCATTGTCTGCCAGTGCTTCACATAGAGCTTTCCTGGTCAATCAGGATAAGCGTAAGAGTTCAAACAGCGTGATCCTTACCGGAATGTTGGTTAGTTGGGCTAACACATCGAATCGAAAGGGACCCTTCAAGCTTTCAAGAGTATCCTTCCTGAGCGTTTTATTATAACGGAGCTCCTTTGCTTTCGGATCATTGGAGGGTGTTTGCACCTTTCCCGCTACTTCCTTCATTGGCATTGATGAGGTGTCCACTGCTTCAGGGTACTTCTTTAAGTACTCCTTTCCACCATGGGTTCCTCATGTTTAAACAGGTTGTGTGATGAACATTGGTTGTTCAACCTTGAAACTACTGAGAGAAGTAGTTTTAACCCGCTCATTTGGAATGGTAGAAATGGCATTGCATGATTTCTATTTGGACTTGGACTTCTTCGAGTGTGTCGACGTCCATTACCCGTCAGCCAATAAGTCAGGATGTACCCACATCACTTCACCTTTAGGGGTAGATGTGAATCAAGGTTCACAACCCTTGTCTCTAT